AAAAGAACAACAGCTCATGTTTAACTGTTGTTTAATGTAAAGGTTTTAGTGACCATGTTAGAAACCATGCAGTAGAGGGCGATCTTTTCCCTTGTTATCTTGCAATAAGTACCATCTGGAACACAAATTCCAGACTACAGAATCCATCTGGTGTTCTTCTTTCAGCTCCAAAAGTGTCGATTAGTTCAGGCAACAGTTTGTTAAAATAAAAGAACCAGTTGTATTGGATCAACTCCTCAGATTAAAAAAAACAACTCCAAACTAACTTCACCCTGTCTCTTCTAACTCTTGCAAAATATTTCAAGTTATTATTTTAACTATAACTTCAAGCAAACCAGTTCACTACAAGACTTGTCTAATGTGTGCTTACACATATGACTATGTAAATCAATGAATGCTCAGCTTTCCTCAATAAGGTAATGATCCACCTTTAGCTATCAGAGAGCTGCCCCATGTACAGTTGTATATGAAGTCAAAAGTTCATCCTGAAAGCCTCAAGGAACACAGGGCCAATTTTTACTAAGTATTTAAGGTCGACTGGATTGTGGGGGGAAGACAACTAAGGACCTGATTTTCATTTCCACTATCAGAACAGTGTAAAATGGGCCTCGTCTGTAACAGTCCAGATTTGGGGGAGGTATAAACATTACGTGTCAGAATCTGGGCTGCCATGCAAAGCTGATATAAAGCTCACTTGTTACTGCTACTCAGGGCAGACTAGGTCCTTTGGCTAGGCACAGCCATTCAAAACGCCCGAGGCAGAATGGATCTGTTACGTGGTTTTCTGTAAGCGGCATAGTTTAGAGCACTAGTGAACAGAATACACGTTGGCCACTCGCTGGGAGGGGTGGCAAGTCCTAGACCAGGTTCTGCCATTTTTTAACCAGTCTGTGTGCAGCAAACTTATGTTCTGTTATGGGTATAGACAGGTTTTGTGCGTCAAACTTGTGTTCGATTACAGATATAGACCGGATTCACCGGTAAAAGTGTACTGTCTGTATTTGGCCTTTGTGTTGAACAAGGGCAGGCTAATGACTGGTCTTACTTGCTGCCATAGCAACAAGCAGCCAAAAATGCAGCAGAGGATTGGTGTAACATGGGTGTTATTGTGGCAGTGTCCCCCCCGCTCCTTCTGCCTGCAAGTCGGGTGGCCCAAAATCCTGTGCGTCTGCTGTGTGATGTATTCTCTGTGGAACAGGTAAAGGTCAGAAGCCCTGGGGCAGCAATGTAAAGCAAAGGCATCGCACCAGAGAATCTGGCAGTGTCTTTTCTGTTTGTCAGGTCAGCCCCAGCTGGATGCAGCCTGCACTTGTGATAATATGAGCTTGTTATGGTATTCCCAGCAGATCTGCAATCTTCACTTTTATAGATATTGGCAGAAATACCCCCAAACTCAAAAGTAAAGGGTCTAATAAAGGAGAAATAAACCTCAAGCAATCATCTGCTGGTTGGTTTCCTTTCCTTTTGTGCAGGCCACCATTCTTACCTCATTCTGACTTTTATGCTTAGTCCTAAGCTTTCCTGGGGACAGTGAGGAACAAGCCACCTATAAATAAATCTGGGGAATTCACAGCTGCACAAGCTTTTGCCCTGCATATAACATGCATTGTTGTTTCAGTGCAAAGCAACTCTGGCAGTAAGGATCTGAATCTTGTGTTACATAAAAGCCTGTAACTGGATCATTGCCTTTTAATAACAAATGATCCTGGAAGAAGAGCTGCAACACACATTAAATGGAGAATCTTTCAAGGGCAGTACATTTGACCATCTACACAAACAAATTACTGTGCATTGAGGGGGCCCACATTTAATGGGAACTGTTTTCTGGAAAATGAGCAGCTGACTTCTGCTATTTAAGGGCTCATACATGTATAAAACAGTCTGCAGGTGCCTGTTAAGCAATTCTGCTATGACTGATGAGTGATGGTTGGTCTTTTGATCCAGGCATCTTTCTAATTAGGCAAGGTGTTTCAGAGTCAAAAGGAGAGAAGGAGATTTAATAAACAGAAACTCAGGATTGGTGTGAACAAAAATATTAGATCCCGAAGCCTTTGTTCCTCAGGAAACTCCTAATTTAGAATTGGATCTGAACTGTTTTATATGGATCTGCTTCTCTACCATGAATAAGAACCTACTGCTAGCACCTCCTGTAAGAAGTGGCAAATTCATACCAAAAGACTACCTCATACAGCTGCTTCCTGTATGTCTGATCCAAAGCTCACTGAAATAAATGCAACAATTTCCACCCAGTCCATATTATGTTTTCAAGGTTTTCCAATTGCTCATATTAAACTAGATTTTGGTGCCATCATCTTTAACAGCTAAAACCAGCCAGCACTTGCCATCTTCCTCTGTTTGCATTCCAGTTCATTTTTAAAAGTGGCATCAATCAGTTTACCGCATGTATACATGTAAGCTCTATTCTGTATTTTGAAGGTGAATACCAATTTATTTAGTCAACACACTATTAGTTCACGATTGTCCCAGTCATTCTTTCATGTTGTAAACTATTATGAAGTTGTTAAAAAAAAAAATTAAAGAAAAAAAAAATCAATATGTGCTAAATTTTCATCACCAAGCAAAATGGATGAATCATGGATGGATACACAGCCGGTGCTAGTGCATCAGACAAAGCCCTACATAAATTAGCATTTGCATATACAAATTGACTACTCTGAATAATTTTGCTCAAATGCAAACTTTTGCCCAGGCAACACTTTATGTGGCTAATTTGCTAAGGAGGCAATTTGGAAAGTAGCTTCATTAAACTCATAAAAGCAAGGGAAATTCAGAATCTAGGCTCTGTCTGCTCTAATTCACATCAACAACTCCTGGTCCCTGAAGCCTTCAGGCTTCCTGAGCTACACAGCTGCTGGGGTTACTACTTTTCCAGAGGGGGAAACTGCCCATTCAGTAACAATTCCTGCATTTTAGGGCTGCCCGGGATTATTCCCTTCTAGAGCTAAAGGAGAAGTCTCTGAGCAGCACAAAGAATTTTGGGAATGGGGAATGAGCTCAGCAGTTATGTGACTGGGCTCTTCACCACTGAGAAAATCTATGAGGCTCATACAAGTTGTTCTTCAGTGAAAGAGAACAGAAGGTTTCACCAAGGTGATGATTTCCCACCATTCACCCATGTTGTGAATGGGAAACAAAAGAGATGATCACTTGGATGAAAGGACCAGCAAGAATGAGGGGAGAAGCAAGATGATCAGTGATGGGCAACCTTTTTTCTTAAAGCATTGATCAAGCCAGTGATAGGCTACATGAGATTATTCTAGCACTAGAACTTAACTCTCTTGGACTATGGCTCCTCACTGGGTGTTGGCGATCAAGTGAAATAGATAATCTATAGAGAGTTACAGTATGAGGCTGGCAGATTATTTACATGAACTGCCCCCATTTGTAGGGCACCGCAGGCTGTATTTTGATATGCAGCAGGCTGACTTGTGTCTTAGACAGGAAACAGGTTTGCTATGCATCAAGTGTCTGGGATCCGGAAGTAAATAGATATTTTATAATGGACCAAGCCTTTAATATTGTATCCCAGGTTTTGACATAAGTATGTAGGGACTGTAGAACATCTGTACAAGGGTTAATCTTGTATAACATGGCTCGGTCTCACACATCTGCACGTTTAATTTTACGCATGTTAATAGTCTAATTGAAGTCAAAAGGACTGCTCACATGAGTAAAACTGTGTCTACCCATAAACATTTGCAGAATTAGGACCTATATATTACTCATATTCTTGAGTACTCTTTAGCACCTTGTAGCCAAAGATTTTGAAGGCATTTTACAAATGTTATATATAAGAAGATACTTCATCAAATCCTGTTCAGGAAAGCATCTTCACTTGGAACCGAAGTTTAACTCTAGGCATATTTTTAAAA